GATGGAATTTCTACCCGGCTCGAGGCAAGGTGACCTCATAAATCGGAGAAAAGCTCATGCACCGCACCCATGGCAGCTCCCCGGACTGTTATAGTGTGGACTTACCCACTGTCCCTGAGAACGCGCAGGAGAAATGGCTTGTAGCTTTGTAAAGCTATAAATAAGTGACAAAACCTGGGATGAATAAACTTCGAGTTAACTTCTTGTCTAAAAGGAGGATCTGTCAGATCAGAAACGTGTCGGAGCTGTTCGCTGTGGTGCACAAACCATGGCAAGAGTTGGCAAAATATTAAACTGCAACAGGTGCTTGTTGCTTAAACTGAAAGCTCCTGGGTGAATAGATAGTGTGCCATGTATGCTGCTTTAGCTCTTAAAGTCCCTTCTCTATGTATGCCTGGCAGTCTGCTACACTTGAGAGAGCAAAGTAAGATTTTCTTAATGTTTTGGGGTTTTTTAATTTCAAAAGGGAAATAAATTCTATTGGGCATAAATCACTCTTTCAATAAAACTTTCCAAGTGCTGTTTTCCTCAGCTTGTAAGTTGTGAGATCAAACTTTCAGTGATACATGCAAGGAACTGAAAAATGTCTACTCTTGACAAAACCGAATTGATATTAGTAATATCTGATATGTCTAATTGATATTGTCCTTCGTGTCGATCTCTAATTACAGTCTCCGTAGGAAGAATGGGGCAATGAAAGACATGTGGTGGCCTTCTGTACAGTGGAAATATCTTGAATGCTAGTGAAGTCTAAAACCCGTTCTTGTTTTGTGCAGACTTTCTGAAATGCAAGTTCTATGATGCAATTAATATGTAAAGCATGTAGGAAGTTGCTGCTGTGGGTGTTTTAATTTAGATGAAATGCACAGCGGTTAAACATAGGCTTTCCTTCTGTGTTTCTTATGGAAATGTTATCATAAGAAGGAAAAATGTTCATAATGAACGCTTTTACTTATGAAGTGGAAGTTGACGATGCCTGTATACAAGGCAAGGCAAATGAGGTCAAGGCCTAGATACCCTTGTAAGTAAACAGCCGTTCTGATTTTGGGATACTAGTTGATAGGACTACAGTTCTAATACCCGCTCTGGCTATTTGGAAAACACAAAGAAGAAAACTTGAAACCTGAGCTCGTAGAGGTGGGTGGGAAATAACCCATGAGATGACTAATAGCTACATCTGTAGTTGGATAAAGCTACTCTTGGAGAAATCCATCTTCTTTCACTGGAAGAGTAAAGGCAACAATTAGAAATAAAGAGCTGTAATAAGCTGTCGTTTTTTTAAATCAAGCATGGAAACTGTCCTTGGAGCGTTTCCTAATACCATTCCAGCTGAAATGGGTCAGATACCTTCAATAATTATAAGGATCTCTTGACTAACCCAGCTAATACTTGAAGTTGTCCATATGTGAAGTAGAAAAACACCCAGTTTGAATAACAGCATAATTAATCCCTTTAGCCTTGGCATCTGGGTATGGACTTGTTGAGAAGCATGATGAGTTGTGTAGACCTTTTAATGTTTCTCCTGCTTTGCCACTAGTGTTTCTGCAAGTACAGTTCTTACCTCCTGTCCCACTCCTTTCTCTTTCCTGGTTTCAGCTGTTAATGCAAAGCAGGGTTTTTTCCATTTTTTCCTTTCTAAAGCAAGGGTTCTGTGGTGTTAAAAAAAAAAAAAAGCTAATGCTGCCTTTAATTTAATGTTCTGCCATGTCAGTCCTGTGCTGCTTCTGATTGCAAATAAGTCTAAAGACACAGGGTAAGCAGAGAGTTGGAGGTGAAAATTATGCCTGGCTGTAATTGGAGTTCTAAGGGTAGTAACTTTGTGGGCCTCTAAACCCAGGTGCCTGGTGTCCTGCTCAGCCTAACTGGGCAGAGAGGTAGCTAAGCTGGATTTCAGCACCCTTTGCAAACAGAGCTTAACTTGTGCTGCTTTATACACTGACATACATCTCTTGGATTTACATAAAGCAGATGTATGTACAGCTAAGCCTCTGAACTATAAAAATGGAACACATGGTTAGGAGCATGAGGCTGTCCTAGCAACATTAGCTACAGATTGGTTGATGTTTTCATTCATACTCTTCCATAAACAAAAAAAAATACTGAATTTACTGTATCAACCTTGTTTAAAAGACCACTTTGTTATACGTCCTTCCTCTACATCAAGTATAATGCCCTTTCAGAATCAGAAGAACAGCAAAAACGTTTATCTAAAATAAGCCAGTGTTTGATTGTCTTGTTTAATGTTAGCAGGAAGCTGATTGGAATATCCTTAAATCAAAACTGATATGAAACTGAAACGTGTCCAAAACTTCTGCTGTATGTAGTGTCACCCTTAGTGGATTTCAAACATTTTTGTTTCTTGGTGATCTGTTCTAACTGTCTAGAGCACTGCAAATAAGTTGCATTAAGATAGTAGCAACTTGGATCTTACATCCACAAATTTTTTTTTTCAAAAAGTAGTTGTGACTTCTAAGTTAAGTCAAGTTATCTAAAAATCATAAGCAGGATTTATTTTTTTTTCTCATTTATGGGTAAAAGAGCAGAGGTCGATTTGAAAACCTGGAAGCTGAAGGGTCTTTTCCAGTCAGTTTGAGTGTTTCTGCTTTTGTGAAGTCCTCAGTATTTTGCTTTCTCCCACAGTACTTCTAGGTGGCAGAATCAGCCTCAAAGGCACTATGGAATTACATCTCCAATTAGCTTGGCTCCTCCTAAGGATATAGATCACATTCATACCCGGAAGTTGGTTGAAGCAATGAAGCCATTTGGAGTATTTGAAGATGAGGAAGAACTGAAGCACAGGTATAACAAGACAGTAAAGTTTGTTAACCTCTTGGATTTTTTAGAGCAAACTTAACATGACTTTTCTTTACAGACTTGTTGTTCTTGGGAAATTGAATAACTTGGTGAGACAATGGATTTCAGAACTTGGTGAAAGCAAGGTAATGATTTTTTAATGTGTTCTTATCAAAACCACTGAGGCCTTCTTGTTTCTTTTAAAGACCATACTACTAGGATGTGTGCTAAAGTTCAATTCTTAACTTTCTTCTGAAGTATTGAGTAGAGCTGCAGTAACTGCCATGGAAATAAGGTGTAAAAGATACTTCAGATCAAGATCTTGAAGTCTTTGAGGCACTGAATAAATTTGTGGAGTGGCTCTATCAGTTGACTTGTAGCAGTTAACAAAGCTGAAACAATGTATTGTGGGGTAAGATAAAAGGATAATGGGCACCAGTCTTCCCCCAAACACCCTACAGGACTCAAGCTGGATTGAAATTATTACACTAGACTTGTCTTTTGTATAGCTCTTAGACTGTGTTAATTTGTGTGTGTCTGCTGCAGAGAAGACTAATAGTAGGTCTTAATTTCTGTGAATTAATGGAAAGACTGCTACGTTATTCATCTTTTTCTTTGAGTTGCAAGCAGTCACTTCAGAAAAAAACTATCAGTCTATTAGACTAACAGCTCAGTATGGGAGTGAGAACACATTGTTTATGGTGGCTGTTGTAGTGTTTCTAAATAACTTGTATGCTAGTTAAATTTGCACATAGGTCAATGTGTATGTTATAATCTAAAGTAAACTCTTTCTTTTTTACTGGCAGAATCTTCCCCCTTCAGTAGTAGCGAATGTTGGTGGCAAAATATTTACATTTGGCTCTTATAGGCTTGGAGTACACACTAAAGGTAAAACTCTTGTTGTTGGGTCATAGTTCTAATGTTTGAGAATGACTTCCAAGAATAACAGAAGAAGTGGAATCTCTTTGCAGGTGCTGACATAGATGCAGTTTGTGTTGCTCCTAGACATGTGGAAAGGTCAGATTTTTTTCAGTCGTTCTTCGAAAAACTGAAACAGCAGGAGGAAATAAAAAATCTAAGAGTGAGTAAGCTCTCTCCTTGATAGTTTGTTCAACTTCTACAATAAGAATATTCACGTTGAAGACTTGTATTGGTAGTGAATGTCTTAAAAACCAAAATAAAAAAAATAGTTTCTGAGCACCTTCTAAAACACTATTTTATGCAGCATGAAAATGTTGAAGTCAAGCTTTTGGTTCCTTTCCCCAATGACTGTAAATCTCATAAGAATCTTTGTGATACACCTCTCCCCTCCCCATGGTTTGGGAATGAGTCAGCTGTGTCAAAAAGCAAGGCTGTCCCTAGGAGCCTAGACTTAATCTTAGATGTAGAAAGGGGCTTGGAAATCAGGTGACTGCATGCAGGAAGAGGAAGGGGCAGCCTGAAAACTAAGGGACTTGAATGTGATGTGCAAAGGCTTCTGTCGTACCTTTGCCATGGAGTGCCTCTGGATGTACTTCAGGACCTCAAATTCATTCTCCTCTGGTCCTGTTTCTGGCTACTCAACCTGAGACTTTGCTGTCAGATTTACATGAAGTTAATAGGAGCTGTGCTGGTGAATATGCAGAACTGCTTGTAAAGTCACGGTCAGGAGCCTACCTTGTGTACCTTGCATGTGAAACTGAGCTCCTGAGAAGTGTTTCTCTTAGCTTTGTCTTCCTGGTGCAGATGTTCTGAAAGACTTCCTATGCATAGCTAGTGAGCCTTCGTTTAGATGACTGTCACCTGAAAACAGACTCAGTGGGCTGCAGTGCAGTTCTAACAAGAGGTCTACAAAAATGAAAACTGTCCTGTAAGGTAGCTGATAGCACTTCAGGCGTGGTAGGAGATAAAAATACAGAAGACTAGTGCACACTGTCAAATGTGGACAGATGTTTTTTATTTCTCTGGATGTTAAGCAGTAGTAAGATACCTACAAAAACCTCTTCTCTTCCTCACCACCAATGTAAGTACCAAACCCACTGATACTGATGGCTGTCTGTGCACAGTTTGTTCGCTACAATGCATGATCAGCCTCTGAATCCCTTGGCTAAATAACTTTTGAAAGCTAGTATTAGTGCCATATTCGTGCTATACTGCTTGCAACTTAATTTTTTTTGTTCAGAAGCAACTCAGTCTTTATACTGTGTAGTTTAGCAGCGTAAGTGCTGTATATTATCATAGTTTAGGAAAAACATTAAAGTAGCAAAAAATGTTTTCTTACGCAGTTATCCTCTCCTTTACAGGCCGTTGAAGATGCGTATGTACCAGTTCTCAAGTTTGAGTTTGATGGCATTGAAGTAAGCATTTCATTTTTTTCTGAGTAAATTTTTTCTTGCTTTGAAATAGCATAACTTTTCCAGGGAGCTGTGACTGCTATTTTTGACCACAACCTATCAAGGTTGCAGGTTCCTCCTGCAACCAGGAGATGTTGCAGTAGAATAGGAGCATATAGGAAAATAAGCCCCTAGGAAGCCTGGCAGGCATGGGAAAACCAGGGACATTTTTCTAAACCTGTGCTGTAGACCAGGTAGCCTACTTGGATAGCGTTTCTTACAAGGATTTTGCAGAGTGGGAGTAGAGGCAGTGTCACAGCTAAGAGTTACAGGGAGATGTGTGTAGTGTAGTTCACCATATGAACCATGTGAGCAGACTGCTTGTTTTGTTGCAAATAAAAAATGAAGTGATCATGAGACAATCTGGAAAATGAGAAGTAAAAGTACTCCCTTGACTCCTGCCTTTAGAATATCTTTTTAACTGAAAAAAAAACCCAAAACCATTCCTTTCCCTAGCTTAAAAAGAAAGAGGGGAATGCAATGAAGGTTTTGTAAATAAAATATGGAACTTCTAGCAATTTTCTTGAGTTTTCTGGCAAAGAAATCTCTTGAGAGATGTATCTATAGTCATGTAATTCTAAATACAAATATTAACCACTTTTTTTAGGCTTGACTAACCGTCCCCTACTAGTGTGCTGTTCACGAACAGAGCAGTATTCTAACTGATGATTGGCACTTTTTACTTTTAAGATTGATCTTGTGTTTGCAAGACTTTCTATGCAAACTGTTTCTGACAACCTCGATCTTGGAGATGACTCACGTCTGAGAAGCTTGGATATAAGATGTATACGGAGCTTAAATGGTAAGCATGTTTACACATCTCTATAAAGGAATTGTTACTAAATTTGGTATAGAATACATGTTATATAACCCAAGTTTCTGTACAAGATGCAGAAACTGATCTCCAGTGTAGATGAGATCTGAGGAGGTGGCAAGTGGACTTAAACTTAGATGTTTCAAGGAGTTGTATGTATAGATAGACCTGTACTTCATATTTGATCAGGGTGTGTGTGTTTTTCCAGTTTACTACAGAAACTGCTTCAGATGAATAAGTAAAGCACTTGATAATGAACTACAACTTATTCTTCTCTAAAAATTTAAAGATATTTAAAATAACTGAAGCCTAACTTGCTTGCTGTTTAACACTGACTGGTTTAATTGCTCCTGGCTGTTGAAAGAACCTGAGTTTTCAGAATCCTGTAGAAAGGCCTTATTTAAAATTGTTGGCTGTAGTCTAAACTATGAAAGAGCTGTTGAGGACACCAGTTACCTGAAGTGATACTGAATGTTATGTGTGATCTGTAATTTTTAAGGTAATACAAAGCAAACAATCCAAACCTGTTTTGAATGTTAAACTGCAAGCTATTGATCCAATACTGCATAAAACTGACTTGTACCTGTTACAAGGAACTGTGTATTTTTTCTTACAGGCTGCAGAGTTACTGACGAAATATTGCACCTAGTGCCAAATATAGAGACTTTTCGGCTAACGCTCCGTGCAATTAAACTGTGGGCAAAACGTGAGTAATGTGTGTGTTTGTGATCTTTAAACTCTTCAGAGGCACCTCGTGCTCAAAAAATAAGACCATTAGAAGTATTTCAGCTTTGGGTAGCTGTTGAAATGATAGTTTTAAAACTAAAATCTCTTTTTAGTTTAGATTCATGGTCTGTCCATGTGGTAGATTGTGTGGTTTTTAATGGGGGTGGACTGGGGAGGAGAGGGGAGTGCCTACAAGGCAAGGTGCTGCGCTGCTTATAAGGAACCTGACTACAAATGAGAAAAATGCCAAGTATAAAAGCTTGATATGTAAGGAATTAAAAAAATACTATTTGCTCATGCAGCTAGAGTAAGTGCTAGAAGGATGGCAGAACTTTTTTCATTAAGGATAGTTGGATGTAGCTGTAGCAGTGTAAGCAAATTTCAGAGTAGCAGTATTTTGGGATGTGGTGTGTTAACAATTCTTTTTTCTTGTCCCTGTAAGGACCAACAGTTTTGGCCTCGTTGCAATGCAAAAATAACTGACTTAGAGACTGAAGCATACTAAGCATTCTATAGATTGTGGAGTTGGTGCTGTAAATTTAAAGGAATATACTTGAGTATTTAAAGACTACAGGCTAACTACCATGTATCCGTTCTAGGACGTGGCATTTACTCCAATATGTTGGGATTTCTTGGAGGGGTCTCCTGGGCAATGCTAGTAGCAAGGACATGTCAACTTTATCCCAATGCTTTGGCCTCTACTCTCATTAACAAGTTCTTCTTGGTTTTTTCAAAATGGTAAGAGCTATTGTTTATTTTAATTTCCTTAAAGATGTAGCCTTTCTAGAGGTAGTTCTTTATATAAGATTTACATCAACAACATTCAATCCTACCCTGAATTACATGGCAGGGCTTTAAATGGACAGTTAGTTACTGGCTTTTCTTATATAGGGAATGGCCAAAACCCGTCTTGCTGAAACATCCTGAAGACAGCAATCTTAATTTACCAGTATGGGACCCTAGGGTAAGTAGATATTGAATCCAGAATCCTTTAAACTTTCTTAGAACCTGAACTGATGCTAAGCAAAAACGTTTTAACGTCATAGGTGAACCCTTCAGACCGATATCACGTAATGCCAATCATCACTCCAGCTTATCCTCAGCAGAATTCTACGTACAATGTATCTACGTCAACGCGAGCCGTAATGGTAGAAGAGTTTAAACATGGTAAAGTTCTTTCCATCCTTATTAATTGATTAAAAACTTTTAACTCCTGCTATGTGAAACCACATTATCTGAACTGGTTATATTCTGCAAGGTGTTCTGCCCTTTCAGATACAATAAGTCTCTGGGCAGTATGCCTGTGACAGGCAATAAGGGACCAGTTACACAATGAACTGTTGTAGTAGACGTGCATTGTGTCAAGAGAATTCCTGCTTTTTCATCTGTCAATTACTGTCCAAAACCTTTATCTTGTAAAGCTTATACTATGCTCAGCTAGTCTTAAACAAAACAGTAATAAGGTTTTCAACTTTAATTGTAGGTCTCGCAGTTACAAATGAAATTCTACAAGGAAAATCAGACTGGTCAAAGCTATTTGAACCTCTGAACTTCTTTCAGAAGTACAAGTATGTATGGAATCTGTCTGAACTTGAAATTATTTACTTACTGGTTAGCATAGTGAGTTTTAACTTGCAGTCTAAATAGAAGATGGCATTAATGTTTGTTTTTTTCAGAAACTGGAGGTTGTTGTAAATTTTGGTATGTTTTGGTAAGGATAAGTACAGGGAAGATAGAAAAACTATGTGTTATGCTGCTGACACTTTTTAAGAAAAAAATCAACTATGATATTTAGAACATAGCAGAATGCAGTTCTAAAGGATGTGATCAGTTTTTCTTCAGTTAATACCATGCTGAATACAGGATATAATCTGTCTTGTCTGGAAGTCATATTCTATACATTTAAGGCAGTGTTGGTTTCACTTGAAGGAATTTCAAGTCCTGAGCTAGAATATTCCTTTTCCTTTTCTTCTAGACATTATATTGTGCTGACTGCTAGTGCCTGTACTAAAGAGCATCACTTAGAGTGGTAAGTCTTGCTTTAAATGTGGGTTCAATACATAATTGGAACTCGATTCAATGTTACACTTGATTTTTGTTAATTGTACTAATACGTGAGATATTAAACTGTCCAACTAGGCATGGAATACAGAACCAAGTAGGCAGTTGATCAGCAAAATAAAAAGCTTTCTTGTAAAGGGAAGTTAACAGACATCTTGTTTAAGAAGTTAACCTAAAGATCTGAATCATGATGAGAAGGAACAAAGAGTTAGTGTGCTTATGCCTGAAGGTCAGGTGCTCTGCGTCATCTAGAGAAGCAGATACAAAGAGTCTGAGGAGACTGCTTACCCAACAGGACTTCAGTTTAAGATGTTGCTTGTTACAGAGGCTGAAGCAAGTAGGAATTACCTGATGTAATCAGATGTGTAATGGACACTGGAGAGCTAGATCTTTTATTGGCTTATAGAGCAGTGGTCCCCAAGCTTTTTTGATCGCACGCTCCTATCAGCAAAAAAAGGATTGTGTACTTACTTATAGGATCGTGTGCTTATTTATAAGTAGATACATATTGCAAGTGATACACAAATTACTGAAGTTGTAGCATTTTCTTCCTGTAGCCCAATGGATTCTCCCGTCCACCCCTCAGCTTTGAAGACCGCTGTTCTAGAGCCTTAGACTTATATTCATAACTTTTTTACTGGATGTAGTACTAAATTTAGCACTAGATCACACTAAATGCTAAGTTGTTCTGGTTGTGTAGTCAGCCTGTTGCAGAGCTTACTTTTCTCCAGTGAAGTGAAACAAGGCTGTTTAATCTAGGTGAAACCTGATAGCCTGCACAGAGCATCTGAATTGTGATAAGTTGTGTTTACTAAGTTTTAATCTAGGAGTGTGCTCGGATATCTTGTGTTTAGTGCTGAAAATGATCACTTCAGCACACTTGGTAGCGGATAGGTAAATTGCAGGAGTGCCCATCTATTTTGTAAAGCTTAAATCTATGAAGCATCTCAATTGCAGTTAGAGGAAATGACTGCTTATGACCTGATATTTGTCACTGTCTCAAGGGAGATGTGCCAATAAACTTGTTTAACCTATGTGATTGTGCTAACTAACTGTGAATCTTGACATAAGGGGAAACGGTGAGGAATTAAGGTACTGTAATGTGTGTGTTGTTGCTTTGCAATGGTATTCTTTGTTAAGAAACAAGTACTTAACGTATTTTGCTCAAGAAAGCAAACAAATAGCTGTGTGTAGCAGACTCCTGTTCTGAGGGCACCTTGGTTGTGTTTCAAAGTCTCACAAATAATTTAATTCCTGTGCTGTCTCTAAAAGACAGCTTACTTAGTGTTTAAAAATAGCTCTAATAGTTAATACCTTCTACCTGAACTTTCTAATATATTCACTTAAAAATTGTATCAGTGACAGCTTGATGTCGGTCACAGTTAGTTATACAACAAGGAGTTATGGGCAGAGGGCTTAGAGGAAAATAATTTTTCAAGTGAAATGGTTTTAAGTGAACAAAGCTTATTGTATCTCTCAACAAAGATGAGGAAGGTTCTGGCTCCAGTAAAGCTGATGGTTTTTGCAGTGACAGAAATGGAGGCAAATGAGGCTTAGTTTTGCATCTGGGAAAACTAAAAAGCAGAAGATAAACTTGCTTCAGTTTGTCTGCTGTAAGAGACAGCTTAGTTTGTGAACTCTTGAATGGATTTGGGAATAGATAGCACATCTCCTTTTGCTCATCAACATAAGATAATTTTGAAGAAAGTACAGATTTCTGACTGCTTTCAGAGTTACCAGTGTTTTAGTTTTAAAAGGCTAAAATGCCAGTACTTTATTTAAATTAAAAGCCTTTGTGGTCATGATTAATTTCTTTGCTAAGTTTCTGATGAGATTGTGTTGATTAGATCATTTGTTTATTAAAGGAACTATATTTTTAATTGGGTAGAAGAGGGTAAACTGTTTTCACCGATCAATCTGCAGGAAGAATTGCATCTTTACTCAGGTGTAACTGTACTTGAGCCTTTTCTAAACTCCTTTTCTCCTTGGTCTTTGGGGTGAAAAGGAGTCTTGCTGCACTTCAAAGTGCAGCCAGAGGTACTGGGATCTGCTTCTTGTTGATATTTTCATCATAGGTTATAGGCTGAAGTGTTGTATCTGAACCGTTAAGAGTACAAGTTAAACTTACTTGCCTCTGTCTTTGGAAACTTTAAAGCTCAAATGTCACTGGAAACATTTCAAATTAGTGTGTGATATGAAAATCTAGTATCTGCTCAGCTGAATGAAACTCACTACTTATTGATTGGCTAGCATTTTTGTAATAGCATTGTGTTATTAAAAGGCACGTAAGTAAGTGCTCGATACACTTAAATGAGTAAGTATCTCTTGTTCTTATTAGGATTGGCCTCGTTGAGTCTAAAATTCGTGTTCTCGTCGGAAACTTGGAGAGGAATGAATTTATAACTATTGCACACGTAAAGCCTCAGTCTTTCCCTGGGAACCAAGAACTCTGTAGACAGTGAGTTTCCTTCTTTTTGAGATACAGTTTGGCCGTTGTATTGTAGTGTGTTGCTATTAATTCACCTCAGCTCATCCGTGAGAGATGCTCAGTTACGTACCTACTGCTCTGTAGATACGAGCTCTGACAGGCAAGGTTCTGAGCATGTGAGATCTTTTTAAAGCAGGGAGAGCTTCAGAGAGAAGTAGGGAGAACTTAAGTATGGGCTGACCCTAATCTGCTGCATAAAACTAAACTATTTTGCTTAATCCTTTCTTGAAAGTAGATACAAGCATCCAAATAACTGTGTGTAAATGATAGATTTGTGAATCTGTCTTTTTAGGCATGGATATGTGTCAATGTGGTTTCTGGGAATTGTTTTTAAGAAAGTGGAAAATTCAGAGCGTGTTAACATTGATTTAACACACGTTATACAGTCATTCACAGATACAGGTAAGCCTATATTTTTGCTCTAGCCTTGTAAGGTTTCATCTCTAACTCTTGTGGAAGTTGCTTCACAAAGTGAATTGTGTTTCCTTCTGCTATTAGCTATTGGATATTTCTATAGAGAGCAACATACAGAAGACTAGCTTTAAAAATGTATTGTTTTGATGTTCTGGCAGTGTAAGTCTGTCTTGAAGCACAAGTGTGTACTAAAGTCATAAACCATATAATGCATGTGAAATAACACTTGTGCAGATCATAGAAACACACTTAAAGGAATGAAGAGGACAGTCAGATGGGAAGTCAGGAGATGACCATTTACTGGGTGTAGCTACTCTTGTCAAAACCAGAAATTTGAAAGTAAGAATTAACTGTATCAGGCTCTAAAATAAGTTGTTGATGCCTGTTGACAGTATTTTCCCAAGATGACAGTTTGTGTATAGTAAGATCCCAGAACTTTGAAAGCCAGTGAGTTGTCACATTGTATTTATGTTCAGTCTTACATGTAAACCTTTGTTTGCCTTTCATTATTACTTTTGATAGATGTAGAGATAAAGTAACATTGCAAGTGTTGTTAGATAATGGTAAATGAAGGGATTTTGGGGTGAGTTGTTGTTTGAAAGTATAGGTGTCTTCCATAATCTGTTTACTTCTTCCCAAGCTGACTGCTCTTGTGCCTTTCAGAAGTGCATGTGTGCTGTCAGGCTCGTACCCAGCTATCACAATGAAAAACTGAGGAAAGCAGGTTGCTCTTCTGAAGTGACAAGCATGTTTGGACAAAGAGTTCTAAACAGTGGGCTCCTTTAAATGTTTGTTTGCACTGATGAAGAGGTTATCCAGAGCACCAGCATGAACTGTGTGTTGTCTTGCTCAGACAACATGAGTAAATGCAGTAAAACCTGATCTTTTTTTAGCTCATGTTTTGGGTTATGAGAAAAGCAAAGAAAAATTCATCAAAACTCTTGTCTGAGTTTTGAGCCAGGTGGGGTGACTTCCTCAGGCTTGCACTGTTGTCTGTACTGGTGCTTTTCTTGTATGTTACAGCTAGTGGCACTGTGTTTCAATGTTGTGGCAAATGTAAATTGTGTCAACAAGCTTTATGCACTGCTAAGAGGCTACAACTAATGTTAAATCCTTCATTTCTATGCACAGACTTTTAGTGTGGCTGTATGCTCTTAGTTTAGTGACAGCCTATAGTGAGTTTCAGATACAGGGTTTGAATCCAGAGAGGCTGAACAGAAAAGGTATTTCTTGAGAGGTGTGAAGTCTTTTGGCAAATGTGGGAGTGACCAGTAGTTACATTCAAGAAAGCTTTTATCATGTGCCTTGATTTTAAAAGAATATTTTTTAGAGGGTAAAGGCTAACTTCAAGTTGATGGGATCAGGAATATAAGACTCACTGTTTAGAAGGCTTTTGCTAAGTGAACTTTGTCTCACTTTTACATAAAAACATCATTGAATTCACTTTGAAGCAACTGTTCATATAGGTGTGAATTTTCGTATTTGTGCTTTTTCTTTCACTTCTCGGTCTCCTGTAGAAAGACTTAGCTGTTTTGTTGCATGTCCTTACTTTGATTTCCACTCTGTATGTTAATAAGCTGACTTTCCAGTTATGCTCATGATAGGCCTGTTAGATAAGCTTATCTAAATGTGACTTATTCCTGTAAAGACTGCAGTGCTAATACAGCACTTCAAAGTTGCATAAAAGGCTGTTTGCTGGCAGTTAAGAAAAACCTGTTTAAATTTTAGTGATTCTGATAAGTCAGATGTTCATAAAATCCAGTCTTACTTTCTTGGACAGATAGAGTTTTAACATCTAAACTATTGAGAAGTTACATGATGTTTCAGAACTGTTGGAAAAAATCCACAGTCATGACTGTAAATATCAAATAAAAAATTAGCCTGAGTCTTGAGTAGGGTGTCTGGTGTCAGCAGCTGTGCACAGTTGGGTTGATTCAAAGTCCTCTGGATCTATTCTCAACCAGAAACCAATGGTTAAGGAGTATTATCTCCTCCAGGTTAAAATTAATGTGGATGTGAGCTGCATGATTAGCAAATCACAGCTGTACTAAGCACATACATAACCATTTGAGTTCAAATACGCATTTATCTAGTCTGTCCTGGATGTGAAATGGGCATCTTGGGTCACACTCATCTTCTTGAGGCTGTATGTGGAGTGCTTGGGTAGCATGTTGAGTTGTTAGGCTGGAAACTTCTTCCTCTTTATTTGGGCTGGACAGACTTAAAGGCTTTGCTGTTTCTAAAGAAATGATGTGTAACTTTGGCAAATACCTAATACAAACACCCCCTCTAAGCTACAACACTAAATTTCATGTTAGTTTACAGGCAGGCTAGCAACCTCAATGTACTGAAGGAAGGTATGAAGATTGAGGCAGCCCATGTGAAAAGAAAACACCTCCACTATTTTTTGCCTGCAGAAGCCTTACAGAAAAGAAAGAAGGTATAATAATAATTTGCTCTTCTAGCAATACTTTTTTTGCTTGAATAATTGCTTGAAGACTTCATTTTTTTTAAACTGTTGTTTCAGCAAAGCATGCCTGATAGTAGTCAAAATGCTAGTGGGCTTCTGTACAAAAGAACTTCAGATGGAAGTTGTGTGGATGGTTCCAGAGAGACAGACTCCAGAGCACCTTATAATTCCTCTTCATTAAATAAGATATCTAAATTGGACACCTCTACAGCAGAGATAGAAAGGTTAGCACCAAAACCTTACAACTGTGAAGAAGCTGCTTTTAACTTACAGTGTGAATGAGGTCTAGAGTTTTGTGTTTCAATCTATGTGGATCATAAGCATGTGGAGGGCTCTAATGGCTTCAGGAACACAGCTGGCATCTCCTTTAGATGTGTGGTAGGAGGCAGCCTAAAGAAAACCTTGATAAAAATAATTTGATGTGCATGACATATAGGAAGGAAGAACAACTTGATACCAGACAAATTATTTGGACGTGAAATATGAACCTCCGTAGGTTAGTGTGTAACTTGAAGCCGGAGCATTTTACATGTAGCTAACTGCTCTTTCTAACAAAAGGCACTACTCATGTCAAGCAGTATTAAGTTCTAATGAAGTGCTAATCATGACCACAGAAACATTGGAGCTGCTGCTGACTTAGTGGAGCAGCATGAGAACTTGGGCAGTAAAAGTGTGTGTCGCTTCCTGGGAAGTCTGTCTGTCCGTAAGCTACTTCAGCACAGGAGGAATACGTAATCTTGAGAGTAATAGCCCAGTTCTCCCAAATGTGTAATGCCTGCTGTGTTCAGGATGTTTGGTACTGTAGGAGTAGCATGCAAAAGAAAATTTAAAAAATTGGGTGTGCATATGGGTAGAGCAGATAAACTCATTAAAAGCAGCATAGAGTGCTGGATACAGTAAGCTGGAGAACAGTACCAGCACGTAGAGACTCACTGAAGAAAACGCTTAAGTTCAGTCTGAAGGCTGGCAAAAAGATCTTGTGCTGGATTGCCTGTGAGCTTGTGGTGTTTAGTAGAGCTGTGACAATGAGCTAAGGCAGACATTTGTTTTGCATGAACTTTCTGAAATGAAACGTGTAGTATCTTACAAACCAGCGTTTTGTAATTCTAGTGTCGGACTTTTACAGAAATGCTGTACATCAGAGATCTAATGGTGTTAACAACAGAGAGAAGATACCTCAGGTAGCTGTGCCTTCAGTGTCTAAGGGACTCTCCATTCCTGTTATTAATTCAAGTATGTATTGAGGTAGTGGGTGGAAGGCAGCCTTTAATTTCATGGCTGAATTCTAAAAGCTCGATGTCTTCTACAGAAATGGAGGCTCCAGTTGCATTAAGAACATCAGGACCTCTAATTGGTTGCACCATTCCAGGACATGACACAATTTCTCAACTTAGAGCGCATTTTGTCCAAGGACATCAGGAATTAAGTGGGACTCCAATTACAAATCCTAAGAATGCTGCACCTAAACAACCTTATTCACTGACCTCTAAAGGATGTCATTCACCTACATCAGAACACCCCAAAAAAGCAATAGATGGAGAAAAGGTAAGGAAGAGGGGCTAGACCAGGGAGGATTTGAAGTAGTATTAATTATTGATGTAGAATGAATGAAACAACTGAGAAGAAACACAGATATACATCCCCAATGGATTGAGGAATCTACATTTAACCATAACGATAGTTTTATTAGGAGGTAGATATGATCAATTGTCTTGGACATAATGTATAGCTATTAAACAATGTTTTTTTCCAAGACCTGGTACTAGTGACTGTTTCTGGTCTGGTGGCAGGGTCTCTAAATAGTATTGTACTTATGTATTACTGCACTGACCGGTTGCTGAATGAACTGGCTCATTTGGAAGCAGTTCTTAAAACAATTAAGAAAAAAACTATCTTGAAAAGGATATGAATCTTACACATGTAAAAGTATGAACTAATCTTGTTCTGGTAGCTGGTTTTTGAATGCCTATTGATAGTTTTGTTGCTTTAGAAATCAGCAGACTATTAAATAGACCATCCACTGCTGAAATGGCAGTGTGGAGTTGCTTGTTAAATCTTGGTTTTGTGGAAGCTTTAGATTAATGCTTGATTTGTTTTATTGCTATACGTAAATCTCCTTTGATAGCTGTTCTTGTGACTTGACCTCAGATTTGAGGCTGTTCTTGTGACTTGACCTCAGATTTGAGGCAGAGGCAAAGAAAAACTAGAAAAAAAACTCAAATTTTGACACTTGCAGAGAATCATCTTGCAGAACTGTTATCTAGTATTAAATATTTCAAGTACAGATTTCAGGTTTGGGTAGTAAGACTTTTTGAGGCTTGAAATTGCTGTATGGTAATGGTAGTCGTGTCTAAATGTTGTTTGAAGAATGGCCACTAATACATTTAATGTGTTGACTGGAAGCTGTACCAAGATACGAAAGTAATTTTTGTATAGCAATTATTTTGAGTCTGTGTATTCTGTTCTAGTTAACTGGCCAGGATTCAGCATTCAAGGATGGTGGCAATCCAGAAGATGTCAGGAGATCTACAGAAAACGTAATATTGAAGTGGTTTTACTCAGTGGACTAGTTGAGAAGCTGAATGGACTGTTCTAGTGCCTAGACTACCTCACATAAATACGTGTTTATGGATGTAAAAAAAAATGTTTTTTAGTTTAAGTTTTTTCAGTCTTCATTTCCCAAATATTACACCTGTATGACCTCTCTGTTAAATGTTACTTAGATGATTTGGTAGTATCTGGCTTCTTGCCATGCTTGATTTTTTTTTTTACTATTTTTTTAAACCACTTTGTTCAGTGATATAAATTAAAACTACTACAAAGACTAAAACATTTGGTATCTCAAAAGGAGGGTAAAGAGCTCTATACTTAGTGTAGCTTACTACTGAAGCACAAACTCTTGAGGGCACACCCTCAAATCAAGATGTGTTCTTGCTGGTAGAGTGAAGGTTGAAATACCTGAAATGCTATATGTGTACTTACAGGACTTAAAAAAACCCCCAACAAAGCAAACCAAAAACAATGAGGTGGAGGTTGTCCATGTATGTATTTAGTTTTTAAGTATCCTAGCTGCCAGACTTTGCTGTCTCTCAAGTAATGAATTTGACAATACTACCTAATAAATCCCTTCTGTTTGTGGTTTTTTTTTAGTGTGTCCTTGCAGGAAAATCCGTGCTGATTCCATTTATCAACACATCAAGATCACAGGTATTATTTATTGTGCCTTCATGTTCATAGGTAAAGCAAAACGAGGATTTTCATGTTATGTACAAAGGCTTATGTTCTATTAATCCCTGTAAGTTTGGTGGTTCTAAGTGGTTGGTAAGATTTTGCTTATCATGCTTCCACCAAATTGAGTAGCCGAACAATGAGTTTCCAAGTTTACTCACAAAAATGAAGCCAAAGTTTCCAAGTTATTGAACTTGAAAAAACATATTTTTGTGCATTCCAACACTGACGCAGTTTACTTCCTGATTTGGTTTTTCCTTAAGCAAAAGGACTTGTACTCATTGCAGATCTTCTGTGAGGTGATCTGAGCTCTTAAATACTTGTACGCTGATTTCTGTGACAAGACTTGGAAGCTCTGAAGTGTATGAGTGGCTTCAACTCTTCTGTGTCCTGTAAAGTGTTGTTTTCCTGATCCTCTATCATGCTGTTGAGCAACTTGCAACTCATTTCCCTCCCCTCAGGAATATAATTATCTCAAGTGATGCAATGAAAGAAGTGTGCAGAGGGGGAAATGCTCTTCCTCTGTATACTGGTGCTAACTAAAGTGGTGTGGTGAAAAAAATCCTTCTTTTAAGTATTTGGGTTTGGGCTATACTGTTTTGGTACATAAAGAATGTTGTTATATTCAGCTGGGAAAGGGGTACTTTTTTGCTACTTCTGAGGTAAAGAATTTAAAATTTCCTTTTTTCTTTTTTGTGGCATCTTTTTGTGTGTTGTAGAGGCTTTCCAGTAAAGAACTACCAGATGCATCATCTCCTGTTCCAACAAATAGTATTCGTATTATTAAAAGATCCATCAAACTCACCCTTAATGGGTAACCAGTATCTCTTCAGGTAAAGATGATGATTGTTTGTTTAGTGGTCCGTATTATCAATATGTATTGTAGTTACTAACAAAGTATGGAAGGCTACTGTTGCCATTCTGCAACTGGCTAGTTAAAATCATGGTCTTGTTTTATAGTGTTGATAGATGCTTGCTTCCTTTTGAACTTCTCCTTGCATATTCTTATAAGTTATCCTTACTAGTCTTTTAAAAAGTCTTTACTGTCACTAGCTGAAACAGCTTTTGAAAAAGCCATAAAAAAACCAGCCTGTCCTGGGACTTGAATTCAGAACGTATGTAACCAGGGTTAACTAGTCACTGCAGCCACATTCTCGTTTCAAGTGTGTATGAACGTGCTTGTATTCATTGGTGCTTTCCTAGTTCATGTGCAGATAGTGTTCTTATCTTAAATTATTTTCCCATTTGGCACATACTTCGTGCATCTATCACAATGGTGCTCAGCTTCCTCAACTAGTAGCTTTCCACTGCCTAGCACAGCCATGCACTACGAAAGTATTGCCTCCCATGGAGGCCCATAATTTAAATATTGAAGAAAATGCAGCAGAGGATGCTACCAAGGTATGGAGATGTCCCATGCCATGTTACCTGATTTCTTTGTCTTAAGACTGCTTCAGCATGAGACTTGACCTTTTATTATCATCACTGGGTAGTAAAGCTAAACCCAGAACATACAGCTGAAGAAATACTTAAACATTGCAACAGCCAAGGCTGTTGTGATGCTACTAACTGCCTGCAAGCTGCAGACTTGAAAGCAACTGGCATGCAGAAAGTGGTTCCAGATAAACCCTGGAAGCTGTTTGAAATGGTTATATGAAAACTTGTAGTAGTCTTAAGCCTGGTTCTGTAAACTGATAACACTGCTTACCTAGTGAAGTGCATTAGGATTTTTTGAGGGGTGGGGAGAAATTCTGATCATATGAAACAAATGTTATGCTATATCTCTTGTAATTTCTTTATAATTTGGTGGTGTTGTAAATGAAGTTGTATGTTTTTTCCAGAGTATTTTTGTATGTACTGAACAATGCTATCTTCCAAAGAGAAATTTAAAATCTTCAGTCTGTTTTTTTTAATGCAGATGGGATCTTCTTAAAAACCCCAAACTACTAAACCAAATGTAAGGTGGGCAGGCAGTGCCACAAAAATTATGTTCTACAAAATGATTGTGTCATGCTAGAGTAAGTTTGAGGAGACTAGGAACACTGCTTTCCTGCTTCTAGAATTTTTGGGTTTTGAATTAAAGCCCTGTGAATAGTGCAGTTTGCAAAATGCATTGACAGCCGAATTAGCAGTTTGCTGTGTGGACAACAGGTACCCCTGAATGCTTTTAAAATGAGTTGTGTGGCTTAAACAGCAAATCTGAGCTCTGATCATCTTAAGTAAGCAAGCCCAAAAGCCCTAGTGACAAGACTGAAGGACCATAAGGCAGCATGTATCTTGTAAGGTCTTCCTTCTCTGGCATTCTCCTTACTGCTAGTATTCCAAACTTGTGGAGAAAGCATGACTATATCACAATATAATTATTTTTTCCCTATTACCTCTGGCTTCTAGCTTGCTTCAAGTGCAATTTATCTCTTAGAAAATTGCCCTTAGTGAGTTTGAGAGGGTTTTATTCTTGTCTTTCTCCTAAGTTTTGGGCTTTTTGGAGACTGCAAGGCTTAGGTTTAGTCACAGGTTAAAATTAAGGAACAGGACCCATGTTACCTAAGTGGCTTTTAGCAGGACTATACCTTGAGCTTATCAAATGGTTATCTCAGTTTTGTGACCTGTGTTAAAACCGTGGTATTTGAACACTGTCAAGTCTGTGTGCTAGTTGTGGTACGTATACAACTTCAGCACCTGTGTAAATAAAAACCCATCATGAATTTGAAGACATTAAAGCTGAAGTAGGTGATAAGACAAACAGTAAAGCACATATGAAAAGTAAATATTTTGTAATAGTCTACAGCCCTGAATATTAACCATGCTTCTAAAGGAATTATTCTGCTTGAGTATTCCAAGACTGTTAAGGGTTGTTTTGCCCTAAACCTCTGTGTCAGCACATGCATTTAGGAAACTAGTCTCAAACTAACCTAGCTAATGGATATCAAAGTATATACCTTTACACAAATCTTTTTTTTCACTCTTGCTTTGCAGTTACCTTCTAATTGCTCTTAGGGTTTTAAGAAGAACGTTTAGGAAGACTTTGTGATAGCAGTTTCTCAGACTTGGTCCATCATAGGTGAGACTACACGCTTTATCATAATACGCCCTGACTCAGCGCTTGGCCCAGTGCAGAGTGACATCACTGTTCTGGAGTTTCCTTGGATGTTGCAGAAGTCTGGTGCTGCCCCAGGACTGTGCAGATTAGGTACCAGCTGCTTTAAATAAAGTTCAAACTTCAACAATTCAACTTAAACGTTTTCCTTTGCTTATGGAGCAAGTCCTCTGTTGAAGTGATTGAAAGGAAAGTCACTCATGCATAAAGACTTGGTGAGGGAGGCTCTTTGATATCAGACTTCCTCCAACCTTTGCTGTTTTCTATCTGCTTTCTTAGCTGGCTGCTGTGTGTGTGGCTTGGAGGTCCAGAGGGAAGGGGTGAGGGATGTATGATCAATGCCCTTAAAGAGGAGCAGCTCTGTAGTGAACTTGTGTAGAGTTAGTAACTTTGAGCGAGGAAGTCTGTTGCAGGCATTAGTGTATCCTGTGGTTTTACTTGTTACGTATAAGCAAAGAAACACTTAAAGCAGTCACCTACGCTTCTGCTGTTGCAGTGGATGTCCCTGCAGAAACTAAGAGAGAAAGTAATAGAATACATACTGCCTTGAGTAAAAAGCAAAGGAGAAAAAAGTTTCTTGACGTTGTTAATCTTGGCTTTGAGAGGGAGGGGGCTTATTAATACTGCCTTTATGTAACACTTAGTGACATCAGCTGTTTAGCCCAAAAACACAAGTGAAAATTCCTCACTGTGTTTTTGTAATTACCTCATCACACTTCTTAGAAGAGTCTGGTCCTATGTGTTATTCCAGTAAATGAAAAGCTACGGTTTTAGCACGCTATATATCTGTGCGCAGCCGAGGGGCTGATAACCACCCTGCGCTGGCGACACTCTGTGCCCTGTCCCCAGAGGAAATCAAATGGCTCTAGGGGGCACCTCACTCTGACTAATAACCTGCTTCTGTGAAAACGGGCATCTTCCTCTCCCACGGGACCACCCCAGTGGGCTGCAGCCTTGTGCCTCCATCCGCCCAACGCAGAGTGGCTGTGGGGGCTGCGTGCCCCTTCCCTGGCGAGGTGAAGGGGAGCTGTGGTCCTGGGCTTCCCACGTCAGGGCGGGTTTCCTACCGTGAGGCTGGTGGCGAGGGCGAGCTGGGGGCTGTGAGCTGCGTGTGCTGTGATGGTGCTGCACCCCTCGGAGGGTGGGCGGCTGGGAAACACCCCTGCAGCCCTGTGCTGTCTGCCACCACTGACCACCAGCCTGGAGGGTCTGGGGGGACCAGCTGCAGCCCTCTGCTTCCTGGCCAGCTCTGCTGTTGCCTTGCCTTTTCTCAAATCCTGCGGGACCAGACTGGACTAAGCAGAGTGCAGTGGGGTGTTTTCCAGCCTGGAATGGAAGAGGGGAGTACTGCCTCCCAGTGTACTGGTCAGCATGGACTCTCCTTGCCTGTGGCTGAGGGTTTCTTCAGCCATCATCTACCCTTAGAGCACCAAGCTTTGAGCGTTGGCTCAAGGGCTTAGGGCTCCAGGCTGCTGGACCTTGTGTATTTTTCTGGGGAGATCTTAGTAAAATAGTAGCCTGAGGGCTGCTTTTTCTCTTGTTCCAGAAGTTACAGCCTGTTGACCTCTCAGCTGTCTGACCTCCAAGAAATTGATAGAAATCAAGAAAATCAAACTGGGACTGCTCGTCCTTGGGCAGTTCCTCTTTGTTGGGAAGACTTTGTCTGAATCATCCTGCTCTCTTCACCCAGCCTTGTTTCTTATTCACACCTCATCTCTTTTCACTTAATCTAATTTCAGATTCTTGCCTGTTTTCCCTTCTCTCTAACTCACATCTTTTCTTGCCCAAATACGTCCTTTCTTCCTCTGCATTTGAACTGAGTGGTACTTTATTCTGTGCTGATGGAGTGAAAATCCCAGGAGTTCTGAAACGAAAGGAGAAATAACCTACCCTGTTTCAGTTTGTGTGTGGCAGCCTGGCAATCAGCTGCTTCTCCAGGGACCATCCAGCTCACTCTCTGCAGTATGTGCAATGGAGAGAAAGCTGAAAATTTTGGCTACTAAGCAGGTCTGGCAAGCATGTGCAAGTTCAGTCTCTTCAAAGGTTCAATACATGCCCAGATATGCGTGGTTTTTCAAAGGAAGAGCAAAAAGTCCAGCAGTGACACCAGCCCAGCCTCTGTGCTAAATTTCATGTCCCTGTTTCTGAAATGTGAAGAAGTTAAGAGTTTCTTAATAAAAGTTTTAAGAATTCTTTGAATATAATTAAAGCAGCATGTGTTTCCCATGACTCATTCTTAGAAATGAATGAGTCATTTTTGTTCTGTTTTTCCTGAAAATCAGCTGGAGGTACAGTATGTTATCATATTCCAAAGGAAACTTTTTGGCAAACTTGGAGTAATGAAAATGTGGCCTTAAAATAGGAAGTGTTGATTAGCCATAAAGTGCATTGATAATATGACAAAAATAAAAATAATGCTACTTACTACAGCATTAACGGAAGCTGGAAAACGCTAGCATTTATTTTGTCCCTGCAGTTTTATTTCTGTTTCATTTTTCCTGGGTGGTCACTTGGCAAGAACAGAAAGTTATCACAAACACTAGATCCAAGTGCATGCACACGAAGAAAAGCTGAGATTTTGTGAATCACTTGATGTATAAGTGCTTGGCTGTATGCCTTCAGCATTGCTTTAGTATGGTTGTTGCAATTTTTGTGGGATTGTTTTTCCTCTCGTGTTTCTCTGATGATGAATTAATGTTTCATTATATAGAGCCTTT